TGTGAGGGGGAGGGGAGGGGGTTGGAGAAGGGAGGGGGTTGGAGAAGGGAGTGGGAGGGGGGTTGAGGTGCGTGAGCGGGCCATCATATCTCCCCTCCTTCCCATTGTCTGCCGGCTGAGTTTAGACACACGCGCACTCGCGCAAACATGACAAACAATGAGGCGTGTCAGATCCTCCACACAAGACAAACACAAACTAACAACATGAACAGAGGAGAATAGATACACTGCTTTGGTGGTCGTAATATGACGTCATCAAATCATGTTGAGGAAAGAATGTAGAGCAAGATGTGGGGCACGAGACCTGAACACGGACAGAGAGCTACGTGGATGTTCTTATACCATCAAGGCATGGACCCGCCTAAATTATTAATAGCCCAATTTGTGTTGGCAGTTTATCGGCTGCAGCAATGGCGACGGGTCGCTAAGCGTTAGCTTCTGAACCAGATTATGACACCTCCTGGATTATTTTTGTGGGCCACCTGCGCACTGAGACTTTGTTTTACGGCACTGGCAGAACAATAAGGTCATGAAAGTGCCGAAGAAAAAATGTGCTACAAGAGAATAACAAAGAGAAAATAGAAAAAGGAGAGATAATGACGAAAGATGTTTGATAGAAAAGAAGAAACAAACCACACCAGTGGTAGCTTTCCTAATCCTGACAAACGCCTGATTTCTCAGTGTTTCCTAATCCTGACAAACGCCTGATTTCCCAATGTTATGTTTTCTAATACTGACGAGAGCCTGACTTCCCAATATAAGGTTTAATAATTCTGACGAGAGCCTGACTTCCCAATATAAGGTTTAATAATTCTGACGAGAGCCTGACTTCCCAATATAAGGTTTAATAATTCTGACGAGAGCCTGATTTCTCAGCGACGACACACTCTTGTACCCAGAGAAAACAGAAAAAAAAGTTTTGTATTGCGAAAGAACTGCATCACTAATGGCCTGTGCATAGTATCTGTGGACATCATTAATGGCCAGTGCACACTATCTGTGGACATCATTAATGGCCAGTGCACACTGTCTGTAGGCATCATTAATGGCCAGTACACACTGTCTGTAGGCATCATTAATGGCCGGTGCACACTTTCT